TGTAAGACCTCGCCACTGTAAATTGGTCCTATCAATAGAGGTATATATGTTTTGTCCGTCACATCTCAGGAATAATAGTATTATAAATTCTTAGGGTGTGACACAGTCCTACATGGATCAAAATTTCAATCAATGAGCAAAGTAGGCTCTACCTAGCAATTGATAATTTGAAATGAAATCGATATAACTTTGAAATCGCAAACTACCTTGAAGTAGCCTTTAAACCTCTCATCTCCGCTTATTTCCGGTTGTGTAGCCAATTGTGGGTGTCTAATGTAATCAGGGTAGAGTCTTAAAATTGCATTCAGCATGCGATTGAAGTGTCGGCTGACAATCTCCCCTGAGTGCCCAAATTCGTGACCTATCTTGCGATTCCTCAAGTTGTGGCTAATCGTGTGCAAGAACATAACCAATTGCTCATCTAGAGATATCAAGAACGTATCGTTTATGTATCCTCTTTGCCTAATAGTATCCCTAAGTTGGAAGTAGGCAGCTCTACTTACTCTTATTTGGTTACAACAACTCACTTCATCTATGTGGATCATGGAGCTATGGAAGTTAGTGCCTAATGCTCTTTGATTGGGACCCTTTTTCTACGAAAAGCAGTAACCACGGCACTTAAACTGGCCACATATACAACATAAACTACCATCATTCCTTCAAAGTCAGTTGTGTCTCTCTGTTGGTTAGTCATTGTAGATATCAACTCGATGGATCTAAGTCAACAACCATGCATGGTAAGTTTTAGTTTGTTGTACTTGAAAGCATCATACAATATTTCATTTATTGCAGATATAGATAGCAATTTTATCTTCATGCTTAGTAAGTTTCTGGACCTATAAATTCATTCGTCAAATGTTAGTCATTTACATTACTAAATAACTTCATCAGCATGTTCTCTTGCCAAATACATTATAAATGTTCTCTTGCAAGCATCATTCATCAGCACATACATACTTATTATATATCAGAACATCAATACAGAATTTGGTAAATAAAATCAGTATAATGTTATCAACATAACATTATCGATTATATCAGTATAACATTGGCAAATAAAATCAGTATAACATTATCAATTAAATCAGCATAAAATGAGATAATCAATGGGGACAGTCAGTAATTTATCATTCTGTTTTTACAACCAGCACTATATAACAAATCAGAAAGTACACAAGATTATTGCCACTTTCAATAAATTTTAGTACACAAGATTATTGCCACTTTCAATAAATTTTAATTAATGGCACCACATAGATCCGCATACAACAAATATTGACACCACAGTATATTAATCAATGGAAAAATCATGTATTGAATACGGCACAATTAAAAATTTGAACTAATAGTCTCCCGTAGCTAAGCATGAAGAGCTTTAAAGGCCCAACATGGGCTAATACACATATATGACTGCAAAATATAGACTTCCAAAGATGGTTAAAGACATTAAGAAGTTCCACCAAAAAAAAAAGGTTTTAAAGGGCTTCGACACATTAACCCTCTTTTTCAAAGGACCAGTGAACTGCAAGTTGAGAGAATAGAAATCTCTACCGAGTGTTAAGGAATGCCTGTGTAAAGTTTCAAAGGACAAAGGATCAATGCCATCCCTCAAAAAAAACAATCAGGATACAAAGAGGGCAACAAAATAACATCTCTCTTGTACACAATAACATCTTTCACTATGCAAATGGGTTGAAGCAATGAAGGATCGAGAGCACGTAGACATTTGAGAGAGAGAAGAGAGAAAGATGGAGGAAAATTTAGAGAGAGATGAGGTCTACCTGTGAACTATATGAGGTCACTGCGAGCTTCAATCGGCGAGAAGGTGTGAGCTGGGGTGCTTCAAGCGAGATGGGTGGCAAGCTCTAAGCAAAAAATGGGTGACTCGGGTCTCTAAGAGAGGGCAACAGGGGTTTCAATGGCATGAGGGTTTCAAAGAGAAAAGGGGTTTCAGAGAACAAAGGGGTTTCAGGGGTGTCTAGGGTTTCAGGGGCGACCAGGGTCTCTGAGAGAGGAGATGGGCAACTAGAGTTTAATGGCGTGAAGGTTTCAGAAAGCAAAGGGTCGGTTTACAAGGGTGTTTAGGGTTTCCAGGGCGACTGGGGCCACTGAGAGACGAGATGGGCGACTGGGGTTCAATGGTGTTAGTGTTTCAGAGAGCAAAGGGGTTTCAGGGGCGTCTAGGGTTTCAGGCGTGACTGGGGTCTCCGAAAGAGGAGATGGGATGGCGTGAGGGTTTCAGAGAGCAATGGACATCTAGGGTTCACAGGTGACTGGGAAAGGCTTTGGGCGAGCTTAAAATATGAATCGTAACATAACTTGCCGCACTTTTTTTAAGTCCATTTTTCCATCCAATCTGAATTCTACCTATTTTGGTGGAATTGAGAAATCCACGTTTTTTGCTTAAAAGGTGGAAAAGTGAATTCAGCAGAAATGTGAATTCTTTTGTCAATGTGCATCCAAACCTGATTTTTGACAGTTTTCCTTGAAATGTGACTCTCAGAAATCTGAATCCTAGGAACCAAACAGGCCCTTAGTGCACTATGAATTATAATTTTCAAAACTTGGTGAAGTTAGCTCTTTGGTCAATTGATCCAACATTTGGTAAATCTCATTGTATTGAGGATGAAATTTATCATCCACTAGAAAACTATGGACAATCCCATAAATCTCAATGAAGCTATGGCCAGGTACAACTGCTACACCTCTCTTCTTCATCATTATTCTCATATCCACCACACCCTCCCACTTACCCTTAGCAGCATATAAATTGGCCATTAGCACGTACCTACCGCTATGTTGTGGTTCCAATTCGATTAGGTTTTTCCCAACCCTCTCACCCAACTCCGAGTTTCCATGAATCATACATGCACCAAGTAGAGCTCCCCATATCACACCATCAGGCTTCATGGGCATACTTTGCATCAACTCTTCAGCATCATTGAATTGGCCAGCTCTACCTAAGAGATCGATCATGCATCCGTAGTGTTCAATTGTGGGTGAAATTTTATAGACTCTTCTCATCAAATCAAAGTAATACCATCCCTGTTCAACCAAGCCACCGTGATTACAAGCACCAAGAATACCTATAACGGTCACTTTATTAGACTTCACACCACTTCTCTCCATGTCTACGAAAAGCTCGAAGGCACGCATGCTAAGCCCATGCACAGCCAATCCCCCTATCATAGCACTCCATGCTAACACATCTTTCTTATGCATCCTATCGAAAACAAAATACGCACTCTCAATACACCCACATTTTGCGTACATATCCACAAGAGCAGTTCCAAGTTCGAGCCCATATTTGAAGCCATTTTGGTCCACAAAAGAGTGAACCCATTTCCCTTCCTCCAAAGCACCAATGCCACCGCATGATGAAAGCACACTTACTAATGATGCTCTAGTCGGCACCATATCAGTCTCCCTCAATTTATGAAACAAATCAATAGCCTCTTGAAAGCATCCATTTTGGGCATAACCAGAAATCATAGCGCTCCAAACCACCTCATTTCTCTCGCTCATTTCATTGAAAACTTCTCGTGCTTCATCCACAAGCCCACAAGCACAATACCCGCTAATAAGGCTCGAGTAAACCACTATATTCCTAAAAGACATTCTATCGAAGACCTGTAGAGCATTTTCAATGTCTCCACAAGAAGAGTAGAGCTTGATGAGACCACTATTCACATATAAATCCCTTTCAAAACCATGCTTCATAATATGGGTATGGATGGATTTACCAAGAAAAAGAGATCCCAAACCAATGCACGCTCTAAGCACAAAAGGGAACATGTGTTTGTTGAGGAGAACTCCTCCTGATTGCATTTGAAGGTAGAAATGAAAACCCACTTTAGGATTGTTACTTTTTGAATAGCCTCTAATCATGGTGTTCCAATTAAAGATGGTGGGCTTCTCAATTTGATTAAAAATAATCCTAGCAAAGCTTAAATCCCCTATATCTGGCACTGCACATACTGCCATTATTCTGCTTATCACAAAAGCAAAGTGGGCAAAGCCTGTTACAATGGTATGAGCATGGATTAGCTTAAGATGCTTCATGTTTGAGCATCTCTCTAGAAGAAGGAGATATGGGAGGTCTGCCATTGAAGTAAAGAGCTCTGAAGAAAAATAGTTTGTCAAGGAAGAGAGAAGCAAGGCTGTAGCATTGGAGGATATGTGGGCTTCGACAATTTGTTAGAGGGACAAGCCCATATCGATTGTAGCAAGGAAGTCCTTATCTTGTTTATAAGAAGAGAGTTAGAGTCCTATTGAAAGAGGAGAGTTACGCATCTATTTTTATTTTTTCCAACACCGCCAATGCCGGAGTGTAGACCCTGCTAAAACAAGTACACAATTAGTACATAAATACAACCTTATTAACATTCTATTTCTATTTCATAATATAAGAAACACATATTACTTTATAGGGATGATAACCTAGATCCAAATGTACCTAAACAGGAGCAGAAACCAGCCTAACAGCAGTGACTCAATGGATGGATATTGTTGGAGAGAGAGGAAGTTCCACAACTTCAAGTCCTTTATGTCTTGGTCAGCCTCAATATCTCTCCAGCACCGTCCATCCATCAAACTTGATGGTGTTCAGCTGGTCTCTACCATTATTGAGATAGAAAGGTTCTACAAATCATTTGTCTATCATCACAGCATTGGGCAAAAGGAATAATTACAACACACCTTTGTAACTATTTTACTGCCTCCAACTGCAAGTAAATAAACAAATTAAGAAATAACAAGTACAATAAAAACAAAAGCAGAGCAAAAATCTGAGGTTCAATAATAAGGTAAGCCATGTTGCTAAGCAATAAACATAACCTTTCCTTCAAACCCATCACCAACACACCCTACCCAAGGAAATAAAACCAAAACAAAAAACAACATTTGATAATTCAAACAAATACAAGCCAATTTTACACCCTAAGGGCTCGTTTGGTTCATTCGAAACAATTTGCAAACGTAAAACAATTTTCCTATTAAAACAATTCACTAAGAAAGAGTTATTCATTCCCATCTTTTTCCATGTTTGGTTCACATGTTTGGAATTCCTATGCAACCAGTCTCCTATGTTTGGTAACCTATTTCGTAAATTGTCTCCTGGAATCTGGATTAATACCTTTTTTTAACTGTTAATTCAAATGTTGATGAGTGGATATCAACGTCCATCCAATTAAGACAATTTCTTGCAAACAATCGATTTATGTTATGTTTAAAAAAATCGATACTTTAGATCATAAGTTTGGTTCACTTTATTAAATTATCCAAGCATCAGGTCTTGGTTAAATAATCAAAGCATTTTTTGCGATCTCTCTCTCTTAAAAATTAATAAAGAAATACTTGAAGCACAAAATCTAATTAATAGTCTTTCAAATCCAAAAGCATGCCCACATCTTTAACATGCCATGTCCATATCCACCCTCAAAATGCATAACAGAGGTACAAGTTGTAAACAAAAAGTGCAATAAAAAATTTATGACAAACATGATACCATCACAACTACTACATCCTAAACCCCATTTCGATATGATTCCCACATTGCATTAGCAATTTCAATGCGTAACTCTGTATTGACGCCATCCCTACTCTAATAACTTATGGTTGCTTGCACCATTTGATCGCCACGTTCTAATGCAGTGTTTTCAAACCTTCACCTTCACTCCTCATGAGTGACAACACCTCTCGTCATCGTGGCATAGCTATGTAATATACATGTTGCAATAACCGTGCTCACTTGAGTTTGAAATAGACAACGAATTTGCTTCTTTAATATTGGGAAGCATGACTTCCATAGACCAAATGTGTGCTCAACAACATTACGCAGTTGTGTTAACCATCCATACACACTGTATATGGCCTGTTATGGTCCATTCAAACTAATTAATAGTGCGTATCGACTGTTAAGGTCCATACAAACTATTAACAATGTGTATGGACCACTAAAACCCAGTTAACAGTGTATGAGCATTTTTAACACTACCAGTGTTTTTACGGTTCATATACGCCCGTATACATTGTTAACAGCATGTATTTTTATTAACTGTTAATAGTAATATACAGTAGTCCATACACTGTGTATGACTGTTAACAGTTCATACACACTGTTAACTGTCCGTATGGAATGGACAGCCCACACACAACAATTCATTCTCATTGTTAAACAATGTGTATAAACACTATTAATTAGTCCATATACACTCTTAACAATGTATATGATCCATAGACATTGGTAACAATATATGTGAACTGTATACACTTGAGAGTGAGGTTTATGGACTGTTAATAGTCCATATACACTGTTAATTGTGTATATGGACTGTATAAAATGTTAATAGAGTACATGGACTATAGAAAAGCATTGATGCACAACAATCAATCCATCATTCAAATAAATGCAATGGCCAACATGGCCTATTTATAATAGAAACTCATCCACCCTTTCTGAAACCCCCCCCCGGCCCCTTCTTTGGTCTCCCAAGTTTAAAAACATTGCAAATTGCAAAAAGTTATGTGATGCAGCATTGAATCATTGAATTAGACAAAATCAAGCTATATGTGTTGAAACTCAATACATTAACCCACAACATATTGCAAAGTTTCTAACACAAGAAGATTCATATTAACGTTGGAATAGATAGTTTACTTAATTGAACAAAGAAGATATACAACAGGAGGAAAAACAAGTTATAAACTTGAGTAAAGAGGGGCATGATCATAGGTTTCAAATTCAGCCCACATGAGGTCATCAAGTACCTACTATTTCCAACAAACACATTGTAGATTGTAAAACTCTAGTTTGTAATACTCTAGCTTGTAATATGTATATTTAACTCGTATGGAGTATGAAACCCAATTCCAAATTCACAATAAAATAACATACAAAAATAGAAGAGCAGAAAAGTTCAGGAGCAAACAAAAAGTTCAGGAGCAAACAAAAACGCCAGACCATATCTATGCATAGAAAAGAGGCAATAAAAAGCATAATTAACTAAAATACAATAAGCCCCAACTCTCATTTCGCATAAAACAACAAAAATCAAAAAGGGATTGTATAATCCGAGACAATTTATTTTTGGTATAAGAAGGCCACAATCTCTTTTAGCCATTGGATGTAAAATCCAATAGATTAAAGTGTGACACGACATTCGAGATATTTTATTTGGACTTTGTGCCCAAACAATGACACGTCTTCAACCACCCAATTTCAAATCCAACAGTCAATAATGATTGTGGCCTCCCTATGTCAAAACTAAATGGTCTCATTGTATACATTTCTAATGAATAATCACAAAAAGAAATAAATTCAGCAACAAACAAAAACACCAAAACATCCAATGCATTGCTGCATTGAGATGAGACACTGCCAACATAAAACTTGGCGCAACTTGATTTAGTCTAGATCTCTAAAATTGAATATTTCACTATTGTTTTTCTTGGCTGCAAAAGCCACAGAAAATGATCCAATAATGCCAAAACTTCAATGATGCAATCTGCTCGTATTCAATCTAAATGATTCTCTATTCATAGACAAATGACTTAGTTTAGTGTTATAAAGATCAAGAAAATGTGATGAAATTGATAGCATACTACTGATTTTTCTGCTGGAGAAAAATCTGCAGTAGTAGTGTAGACAGTAGAGATCATGCAAATTACAGCCATGACTTTGTTAAATTCACTTGATGTTTTTGCCGTAAAACAATGGCTAGATCCAGATATTAATTTTGCATTGATAATTCTGAATATAAAAAAGAAAAAAAAAGAAAGAGAAAAATCAGTTTTTGTTTGAAGGTGGGGAGAGGAAGAATGTGTAGGGTGAATGGGGTGGGGGAAAGTACGGAATGGGGGGTGTTTGGAATGGGGAGTATGGGGGCAAGAATGGGATGAGACATGGGGAGAGATGAGAATGGGACAAAAGAGAAAGGGAAAATAATTCACGCACGGGGACAATTTTACCCAGCACTTCACACCAGCCAAACATGCAAAAGTGTGGCTTTCACAAAAAAAAATTTCTGCGTGCTTTTCTATGCATGAACTAAACGAGCCTAAAGTAACTAAAAAATTGATCCCTTTTAAGGGCTCTGCATTTTTGTCAGTTGCAGATGAAGACTGACTGTAGAACATAAAAGACCCTCTCTTCTTTCTCTATCCCTAATCATTTTCTCTCTCTAGAAAAGCTTTCATCATCTCTTCTCAAAGCTCCACCTGAGAAATGAAATATCTTTCTAGATCATATGGTTCTCCAGCTTGTCCCAGGTTAAGCCCAGCCCTCTATTCTCGCCCAAACTCTCAAGAAGCTGTTTCTTTTACAGTAACCATGATTACTGGATCTCAAGCTTGTGCCTCTAATTCGGAAATTATGGTACAAATTCATAAAGATGATTAATTTATGAGATAGTTTTCTCTAACCCTATGTCCTGATTAATTTATGAGATAGTTTTCTCTAACCCTATGTCCTGATGCATAAGTTAACCATGAATCAGAAGGAGAGAAAGTGAGAGAAAGATATATATATACATAGAGAGAGAGAAAGAGATTTCAGTAGCAATTGAGAAAAGAGGGCACATAATATTCCTGGAAAAGATTGCTATGGAAGAAAAAACATAGTGCATACAATCTACCCTGATGCGTACATGATCAAGATTCAAATAGGGACTCACCTTGGAATTATCATTTATACCTGAAACTCCCATGAAAATAGTTGTGTAAAATCATTAATCAACCCAAAAAACCAATTAAAATCTTTCATAAAACCAGCCTAAATAACTCACGGCCAAAAAGTTGCAAAATCACACTGATAATTTGTTAACTGAAAAGATTCATGAACCCATTTGAAAGAAAAACCAGTTCCAACACAGCAAGCATGGTCAAGCACAATTTCTCTCTCTCTCTAATCTTACCGTCTGGTTTCCAAAACCTCCATTTCCATCCCATAAAAACTGCTCCATATTCACCTTTTCATCACCATCGAACACAGAACCAGCCATTTTCTGAGCTAAACCTGATATATAGCCATCTTCATCACTCTTGGTCTCAGACTTGACATGAGAGCTCAGGCTCGAGTCATGATCAACCCGATAAGAGCCAGGCTTTGTGAAAACAAAATAAAGCCTCTGTTCTCATAAAGCCTCACCTCAAATCAATTTTCTGACAGAAAATTTTGAAACTGAAAAAAATGTACAGATACGTATCTAGACGATCTTGAACTTGGGAAAATAATGAACGGTTTAGATAATTTGTTACGCTATACACCATTTTAAGAGCTTGAAATCCTATTTTTTGTCCACAATTATAATGTTTTAGACAAGATGATCGATACAAGGTTTTTCAAAGCTGGAGTTGTAATTTTCGATCAGGTGGAGTTGTAATTTTCGATGAGTTATGAAGTGAGGCTTTATTTATCCATCAAAACTATTTTCCAAAAACATTACAAGAAAAAGAGCACCTAATAGCATAGCTTTACTTCTCATTTGTCAAAAAAAAAGAAGCATAGCTTACTTCCTCTCTCTATATATAGGTGTTGTTTGCATGAGGTTGCAAATTTAAACGATTGATCTATGCCTTTCCTACTATCCAGTTGTCCAATTTTGATTAAGAGAGTCACTCTCTGTTTGATCTTAGATCCGACGTCTCAAAGTATTTTATTTTTAGTTTTTTTTGTATAATTTGTATGAATATGAAATTTGGTACATGCTATCTTCTCATTGGGTCGTACCTATAAAAAATATTAAAAATAAATTTTCTATAAAATATAATGACAAAAATACCTTTGGAATTTTTCAAAGGTATTTTGGTCATTTTATTTTATTATAAATATTTGCTTTTATAATTTTCGATGGTGCGAGTTTAATAGATGATTGGATGTACAAATTTTGGTGCCAAAATAGTTCATAGAAAAAAAATGAAAAAATAAAATAATATAGAGACATGACATTGTAATTGGGACAATCTTAGCCCTCCATTTAGAATGAACGGGAGAGCATATAAGTTTTATGTTGTAGGGAAAGCATACAAAGCTTGCCCGAAGGTTATTCACAAAGCGGATATGAGAGATTGTCAGATGAAAATTCTATAAAAATCCCTCGATTTGACAACACAAACTCATTATTTAAAAGTAGTAGATGAGTTGTGGAATCAATCGAATTATGATATAGGGGTTGATCTATTCAAATGAACAGATCCACCTTTAGATCATTGGTAGGACCAACATGATCATCGCACTAAATACTCATATCAAAGAAATGAAATTAAGATCTAATTAGAAATGAAAGTAACTCAAGACTTACTTGATCGAGCCAATTGGCTCAGGACACTCGAAGCTCTGAAGCTTCACCCGTATTAGGACTGCGGCTTCAATTTACACCGTTTGTCTTCATTTTCCTCTTCATAATTGAATAGTTTTGATTGAAATGGGATTGTAGATTTCCTAACCTAATAATTCAAGGCTTAGGTTTGGGTCTCTCTAATGAGGGTTGATGATCCTAGGGTTTTAGGTATCTATTTCCACTCACATAATCTATATAGAACTTGATTGACCAACCATTAAGAGGTCGAATTCAAATTCTTTGATAGACCTATAAATGATTGGGAAAAGGTTAGGGATGTTCATCCCATTGGTTAGAGTTCAAAATTCGAAATTCTAGTGATCAAAGGGCAACACAAAGTGTATCGCTCTGGTCAAACGTGATCAGTCGACACAAACTGTATTGCAAGACCTAATATTGACCAAATACGGTGAACATGCACAAAATGGTCTGGGCGACACACTTTGTGTTGCTCAGATCAAATTATACCAGAATTTTGAAAATTTGACTCTTGCTATCTCTCACGCGTTTTTTGATAATTATCATTTTGTTTTCGAAATTAAACGCGATATTTGTCCTATTTTTGGATTATTTTCAAATTTGGATGAAAGTCTAGAGGGAAAAGGGATCATGGAGTGAGGACCACAAACTATGGTGCTTTGTGGTCCGAAGAGCTATGGAATAGTATAAGCCTAAGGGCTTTCTAAGTGTTTTCAATGCGAGAAAACTAATAAAATTTACCAAAGAAATAGGTGTTTGCAAAGGTACTTGAATGGAATGGTCTTATTAAGATAACAACTTGTTGGAATTTATTTCATTTCCCATCTCGATGATTTTTTCATATCATCTCACCATTTTAATAATATTTTTCTCATAATCTTTGCATGATCATAACTCATAACCATCATAGACTGCGTTCATAATCATATGTGTAATAGATACGAATTTCCCTACACAAAACATACTCCTGATTATGG